GGAGGAGGAGGCATGAGAGTTAGGGTCAGCATCAAGGCAACCTGAGAGCTCCAAGGGGGAAAGAGGGAATGGAGCTGGCAGAGAGAGAGAGAGAGAGACAGAGAGAGAGAGAGAGAGACAGAGGTAGAGCCTGGGTCATCCGTCAGCCCTCAGATGGAGAGTCAACAGCCCCCAGGTCTGGAAGTGGCTGACGAGGAAGAGGAGGAACAGCTGGGTCCAGTGCCTGACACACTGATGCACAGAAAGCAGAGGAGAGGAGAGCAGTGGAAATCTATGGGCCGGTCTAGTGAAGCTGGGGCTGGCGGTGCTCCTAATTAAAGGAATCTTTGAGTTAACTCCAGAGGGGTTTGTCATATTTGGGGAGCTGGGTCAGAACAGTGCTGCAATATTTATGGCAGAACAAAATGCCAACAGGCACGCAACAACAAAAGAACATTGGGCAAACACTGCCATTATGTACTTGTGTCCTCATGCCTAACGCAGAGAATGGTGTCACAGTATTGCCACATTTTGTCATTATCTGCCCACTACTGCAGATGCCCATGCTTTGGTGTGTTTGACCTATTTTGAAAAAGGGGGAAAGGGAGACCTCGTGGAAACAATTCATGATCGCCATTGTGACTTTCTTCCTTACGCAGCACAGATCAAGAATTTAGAAACTCACATTCAATTTCTGAAGAATCTCATGAATTGGCTTGTTTTTCCAGTCGTTATGATTAATATCTGGCTGCTGTTCCAACTCCGTTGCATTTGGCGTACTGGTTTGCCTCTTGACTTTTGAATGCTTTGGAAGCTCCAGTTCTTCAAAACTCTTAAATTCCGGAGGCCTGCAGAAAGAATATTTCGAAATCTGAAAAAAACAAAAAAAATCTAACGGATGCTTTCACGATCTACCTTTCTTAACACGATGCTCAACTAAGACAAATGATCTAGAAAGGCCATCCGAGACGTGTGAAGCTATGGTTTTACTATAATTTCGGATATACTTACTCCTCTGCGTCACCAATTCTTAAGAAATCCAATTGTTCAACCACTGCTCCAGAGATTAATGTCTGAAATAGAGAAGAGGAATGGAAGACAAAAGGAGCACTTAGTAGAAAATATGGGAAATCCATAGTTTGCTGTAATAATGCATAATAACACCACAAACTGGATAAGCGTGGATAGATGGATGGATGGATGGAAAAATCAGCCAAGTACTAGAGAGAAACAAACAGAGGGAGAGAGTGGGGTGTGTGTGTGTTTGTGTGTGAGAGACAGAGGAAGAGACAGAGACAAAGACAAAGAGAGAGAGAGAGAGAGAGATTTGAATCTTTTACAATATCTGCTGCCTGGATTTAGGAGATCAATAAATACTAATAGACCCTGCTTGCTATTGTTCATACATGTTGCAGCCAAGTCCATTTTAACAGATTGTACCAATCGACCGTCATTAAAATCTGTGGCGCATTTTCTTTCAATTGAAGGTTACAGACACAATAATTTTAGTGATATATAGATAAAAGCAGAAGATCTTCAGAAATTAAGATTAGCTTCCAGATACGGCAAGAAAAATACTTTTGTTGTTTGTTTTATTATTCTAAGCAACTGTTAGTTCAGATGGTAGTTTCTTTTTTGCCCTTTTTTTGTCCAGGATTTTAAGGCAGGGAGAAAGAAGGATTATGTTTCTATCTCTTCCTCCAACCATCCAATTCAATTTCCTACCCAAATATTTATGCTTTGCTGGAGAACAAAGTTGCACTTTTTCTTATTAATATTTTATCAGGTGTACATATTATCTGCTATTAATCCTTTGAATATTCAAATATATCTCTAAGGGGAAAACAGATTACACTGAATCAATGTTAAGCTTTTCTATGAAAAAGGGTTTCACGCTGGTGAGGCAAAACTAATAGAGATAAGGTTAGAGTAACTTTTCATTTATATAGCAAAATATATCAAGAATGCTATCCAACCACAATGGGAAGACTGTCTCCCTGTCATAATTTGATTTACGTGTTTTATACTGATCTTTATATTCCCCATTTATCTTGTATATCTGAGCACAAATTGTAATAACTTTATTATAACCCATAAATGGGAAAAATATTCTAGCCAAGCCTGGAAACTAGTTTTACGACCAAAATGGAAAGTATTTTTATGCAAAATTATACAGGTCTTCTATGAATTAATGTCTAAAAGCCTAACTCTCTGTATACAAATGCAAAAACTGCAAGTAAATTATGAACATGAACATATATTCCCTCTAATAGATAATGCATTATTAGCATTTCATAATCTCACCATTTCAATTTTTCCTCTTTCTATAATGAAATGGACGATATCCAAGAATACAAGAGTGGAGTAATTTAGGAAATTAATGCCCGAGCCTTAGCTAAAGAAAATGTTGCATTATTTAAATCTGAGAAGTAATTGTATATAGGTCAGGTTGAAAATACCATAATGGCTCCAGCAGTCTATCTAAGATGCTAGAGATCCTGGCAGCCTTTATTTATTAAGGATTTAAGCAACATTTTTAAAAACAGGAAAGAAACACAAAACTGGTGAACCAAACAATTTTCAAACAGAAGCTGGATTTTATCAGTTGTCATCACTGTCATCTCCTCTTGATTGCATGGAACTGAACCAGAGGTGGTATTCAGCAGGTTCTGACTAGTTCTGGAGAACCAGTAGCAGAAATTCCCAATTGAAGGAATCTTTGAGTTAACTTCAGAGGGTTTGTCATGTTTTTGGAGCTGGGTCAGAACAGACATATTCATAACTGCTGATTACTTGAAATTTTATGCCATGCATCAGTTACATTTATACTATGAATCAATGAAAAGACAACTATACCTGCAGCCGATCCACACGAACCTTCACTCCACCAACCACACCTTTCTTAAAGGAGGCAAGCATGTCTAGTATGGGATTGAATCTACTTCCCCTGATGTAAAAAAACAACAAGATTTTAATGTTGCAAACTTTTCAAATGTCCGAGCATTGGGAATCTTACGTGTAGGTTTCTATGGACGAACTCTTACCTTATATTGTCCTCTCGGATGAGCACAAGAAATAAAGGACGGCCATGCATTTTCCAGTATTGTTTAATGAACTGCAAGGCATTCTAGGGAAATAAAGCCCCCCAAATGAAATAAGAATAGGGAAGTAGGGTAAATTGCAATAAAAACATCCAATTAGCAAAACAAGACAATATGTTAGACTACATGGATGTGTTGAATACATGTATGGCTGGCTGGGGAATTCTGGGAGATGAAGTCCATATATCTTCAAGTGGCCATGCTTGAAAAACATTGGTACATACAATGCAATTTAGATCTGGTGGATAGAAAGATGAGAGACAGAAAGAGAGAGAGGAAGAGAGAGAGACAGAGAAAGAGAAAGAGGGAGGGAGGGAAGGAGAGAAAGACACAGAGAAAGAGACAGAGACAGATAGAAACAGAGAGAGACAGAGAGATATAGAGGTAGAGATTACATATAATTTAATCCTTGTATATAAAATGCATATAATGCACTGAATTCTGGGAATTGAAGTGTACACATCTTGAATTGCAAGGTTGAAAAACACTGGTATATACAATGCAATTTCAATATAAAACAGATCTGGATCAGTCCAATGTGGTGATTCTCGAAGATGATTTGTAACATGGAAATGAACTCTGTGGAAAAGGCTTCATTGGCCACAAACATTAATGAATTTCATAGGAGGCCCATGTCAGAAATATTTACTGAAGTGGCATTTTAGGGAATGTTCTTTTTCTTCAGGGATAATCTTTATTATCCTTCTGAAAAGAATTATTTACAGAGAGTGGCAGGAGTTATATTCCACTGTCCGAAAACCTATTTATCCT